GAATAAATTCAGTCCTGAACCTATGGGGATAGTCCAGAGTATTTGAGTGGCTAGGAGTAAATGTTCAATGGATAGTAGGGAGTTGAGGTAGCAGACTTATCAGTGATAATTGTTTCCTTGCTCACTTGAGCCTTCTGCTTCCTAATGCTCATAATTTCACTCTCTCATTTGCTCACTCACTCACTTACGCTCGGCTTTGTCCCTTGGGTAGGCTTAGTTGGGTTTACTAAGCCATAAGGACATGTTCTCTCATTACTTTCTTCATTTTCTCTCTGTACTCCCCCTCAATTGGAGCACTCAGTATGCTTTGTCATTGTTAGGCACCGGGGAGGATAACATTGAACACTCCCCCTAAAATGTTGCATCCTTTGAGAGATTCCTTGCTTTGTCGGTGTAAGGCGCCATGAGGATAAAACTGAAACTCCCCCTCAGAATGTGCAAGGTTTGATTGCTCACAACTTGTCATACCCGCCATGTGTGTGGAGCAATCTGAACAAGTACCACACATGACGGTTTCTCTGAACTCACCATGTACAATTTCAGCATATTGATGATCACATAATGTTGACGAGTCAGGGGAGGTTTCAGTGGTTGATTGTTGATTGTTGTAAGATGACCGTTGACGCGAGGTTGATTGAACTATCTACGATTTTCAGACCTCTGCAGTGTAGCATAGACCCCATTTGACCTTTGGTTTGATTTTGGAAGAATTTGATCAGATTTGCCCAAAATGGCCTTTTGACATCGGTGATTTACAAAGTTTGTCGGAAAACTAACTTTTTGACCCCCAAGGACCGCGCGTGAGGGCGCGTAAGGATGGGTTCTGGGGCATATCCCGAGAATAAATGTAGATCTTTTCGTTAGGTTTCCAACGCCACAAAAATCGCTTAAATCGGATCACCGAGTTAAAAGTTATGGCCAAAACAGTGAAAACACGCAAAAACTTTGAATTTTGAGATTTTGAGGAAATTTTTCGAAGTTGAGGTTCTCGATCTGGAATATCGAGATCTAACAAAATCTCGAAATCTTTCAAGTTGAAAATTTCGAGTTTTGAAATTTTGAAAACAGTTTTGAAAAGCCCTTGATCTCGCGATTCCTCCTGTACCAAATTCAAGTCAAAATCGTTTCTACAGCGGTGAAAAAATAGGATCTCAAGATCTCAGTATAGAGATCTTCGAAATCGAAAAATTGCAGAAATCGAAAACAAAGAAGTGATGTAGAATCGGTAAGAGGAGGCGATTCCAACAGTATAATTTTTACAAAGTTTCGACCAAAAACAATATCACAAAGGCAAATATCGAGATAATGAAATACTAGAGAAAAACAGTGTCTGTCGAAAAAGCATATACGAAAAACGCAGATAGATTCAACCTTTTTTCACGCCTCGGCTCTAATACCAATTGATAAACCCAGTATTTAACAATCAAACAATCGTAAGCAAGTAACAACGAAGAAGCAGATGGAAGGACGTCGATATTATACACGAATCTGGTATACCGTATGAACCCCCGCTGCTCTCCCTCGAGAAGGAGAGCAACGGAAACCCTTCTCTCTATCTCGCCTCTACGCACTCTAAGCCTCTTTTCGATACTTAGGGTTCCCGTAAGTTACCCTCCTTTTATAGGAGAAGATAGCTAACTTACGCGTTACAAGGAAGCCCCCGGGCTGATACACATTTGTGGCTCGTATTACACGTTTAATTAATAACTACACAAATAGAAAGATATTTAATTAGATTGGACACCATAAAATATTCCTAACAAGAAAATTAATTCATATTCTTTTTGCTGCATTCCAACACCCTCGGGCTGAAAAGCTCATATTTGTTTTTTCACCCATTAATTAGGTTACAATCAACATTATAATCTTTTTGGTATCCCAAATTTCAGTTTATCGGTTTTATCGATCAACTGTTTTATCAAATGCGTAAATGCATAACTTTTCATTTTAGTCATTTCTCGTACAATTTTTTTAATATTTTTACTAAAATGCCCCTTTTCAACAAATAGGCGTATTAAAATAATCTAGTCATTTTAGCCGGGAATTTGCGCAGATTTATTTATGTTGCAAAACAGACTTTTAAAATCCAATTGATCTGATTTCATTTGATGGAGGACAACAGTAATAATAATGAGCTTAAAAGAACTCCGTGTTAGGAATTCGAAAAATGAATAAAAAATGCTAAAATCCGGGGAGAGAAGCTAGCTAGATGGAGTAGTCTTTGATTATGGGGAACGGTCAATGAAAAAGTAGACCGTGTTTTCCGGTGGAAGAGGACGAATAGGAAAAGGCTGATTCATTGCCAGCGTGGGCGGTCCGTGGCCGTCCGATGGGCATGCAAGGGGCGAGATTATATCTCAAACTGGAGAAAACTGTAGAAGAGTGGAAAGATTTTGTGCAGCAGAAGCCACAGTTCTCTGCTGCAGACAAAGTATAGTTAGCAGTGACATGTGAGAGAAAGAGAGAATGGATTCACTGGGTCACTGTACGTAACTGTAGCTGCTCATTAATGAAGGGGGAGTGGGGGTTGTCTTAAATTGAGGTTTTTAGATTGCAGTGTTCCGTGGCGGCGGAGCAGAGCCGTGACTTTAATGCTGCTGCTCCACCACCATCAACCTCCTTGCCCTAACCTCAAAAACGGTAAAATTAATCAATGAATAACAATTCCTAAACCAATAAAGAAAGAAAGCCCCCACCCTATGCTCTAGCTGCACTCTCTTTTTACTTCTCAAATTTCTTCATCATTAATATTTTATTTTTATTAGTGCTACCTGTAATATTATTGTTACTATTAGTATTACAATCACCACATATTATTATCATATTATTGATATTGTTATTATTCTTATTATTTTTTGACATGGAAAATATTGTTTGTATAAGACTTAAATGTCAAGCATTTCTTTAATTAGTTAGAAGCACCATTATATTTAAAATAAAGAACATTCACGCCTAAAAAGGATTTAATTTAGTTTATTAAAGGCTATAAGTCATATGATGAGAATAACATCTACTTGAACTAATGAGTCACTTTTTTGTAAACAAGTTTGATATGGACTATGAGAGAATAAAGTTCCAATTTAATAAACCAATGTTTTTTACTCATTATTATATTACCTTGTCACAATTAGCATTTGTGTATACTCCCTCCGGTTCCAAAAGATCTTGACATTTTGACTTCACCGTTTTTAAGGAAATAAATTTCACTTTACTGTAGAATACATTGTTTGGCACTGTTTGACACTGTTAAGCACTGTTTGACACTATTTTGTGTAGATTTATTTGCCAAATAAGACAAATAAGGAAGTGTAAAGATAATAGTGGTACTGATAAAAATGGAAAGTGTAAAAAGCTTTCAGAATCGGAGGGAGTATCTTTTTGGGACGTTCCTAGATCTAACATTCTTTTTATTTTTTAGAGAGATTTTATAAATTATTACTACGCATCATTTTACTCTACTTCCCTTAAATATCAATTAAGAATTATTTTACAATATCACACAATGTTAATTTTTTGAAACAATGTTAGAAAATTTTATAATTTTATTATCATTTACCTTCAATAAAAATGGTATTTTAGTAAGTCAAAAGAAATAATATGATACCTATAAATTTCGTAAAAATAAAAGTAGAAGTTTTTTTAACAAACATAGGTAGAATTATATAAAGTAGTAATTTAAACCGTTGGATTTCAAAATGATTTGAAGATAGCTCAAACAAGCTCACTTTTCACCTTTATTATTTATAAATGGAGTATCATTATAAATTAACTAATCATAAAATTAACTGATTTCTGATGTAGTAAAATCTTTTTGAGTAAATGAAATTTAAATATTCAGAAACTACATTAAAAGTTTTATAAAATCACAAAAATAAATCAAATTTGATAAAAGTTAATTATATAAATTAAATTATTTAAATTTTTCTTTACATTAATCGGAGAATAATGGACGGAAATTTTTGTATAAAACGGAATTAATAATTGCTAGTAATGATTGAAAATTTTTTCATTGATTTTGTTTTGGCCAATATTGAAATTAGGCTGATGTGATTTCCATCTGTAAAGTACTATGTACATCATAACTTCTCATTCTATATCTTGCTGACTTTTAAAGATCAAATGCTAAAAGTTAACTTGGTATAAGAGAGAATTTAATTCAAGGCCATGGTGGGATCACCTATCAAAAGTTTAAAAATGATGACCATCATAATCAACCAGGTTAATTATATAGAATCAAGAATGAAACTAACAAAAAATAAGACCTCTTTCGATAACCATGAAATTGGTTGAATCGACGTAAATATCTTAAATTCTGACTTAAATATCATAAATTCTGTCTTAAACAACTGAATTAGATGAAAATGCTCAATTAGAATAGTACTCTCTATCACTCATTTTTTTTACTTATACCATTCTTATTATCATGTCATTTATTTTGAGTTAAAGGTTATAATTCTTGATTGAGATGTGACTCAAATATGTGACCTTATTTGAGAAAGTAATGGTGATACCATGGGATTAGAAGTTACAATGTACTTGACACCACCAGTTAACTTCTAATTAAACATTATATTAATAAGGGAAAATTCATGAATAAGAGTAAATAGGTTCTGAAATTCCAAAATAATTGTCACGTTTTTAATTCCTAAATAGAAATAATTTCTGGCAAGTTTGACATTATCAAGCTTTAAACATGATAGTTTTTCAAATTTTAATCCAAACTTGACAAAAAATACTCTTATTTAGTGAATAAAAACATGATGAAAGTCCTAATTTGAAATTTAAAAACGTTTTTACTCCTATTTGGAGCAATTTTTACTATTAATAATAATTATTATTTTTAATTGTATTCCAAATTAATACAAAAAATACATGTAGATGTATTTCCTCGATCACTATCAAACTGTGTACTCATTGGACCCTAGCGTACTCCTACGTATAGATGTATGTATGTACACATCCAATCAAATCATATGCGCGAGTAGGGGCAGCGGGGGAGGGCTGGTTTGAGGATAGGATATGTTGTCAAAATTGAGGTCGAAGATAGGTTATAGGAGTGGAAAAAAATGTCTAGCTTTTTCAGTTTAGGAGGGGGAGGAGGTGGTGGTGGAGGAAATAAAGATCAACAAGACCAGGACCTCCTAGGCGGTGGAGCGGGTGGCGCCAGCGCCGGCGCCGGCGGAGGCAGCAACAACAATAGTAGCTTGTATCTTTTCAAGAACGAGGAGATCTACAGCAAGGGTTTCGAGCTATGGCAACAGTACTACCATATGCATCAGCAAAGGGACCACCCCCACCCCCATCTCGTCGACTTCTCCGTCGGCGGCGGCCATGCCAACAACACCCACAACCCTAATGCCGCCGCCGCTGCCGCAGCGGCAGGTGGGAGCAGCAGCAGCAGTGGCAATTTAGTCGGGGATGATCACCACCAGAACGTCGTCCAATCCGCCGGCGGAGGCTACACGTACCGAGTTATGAGGCAGACCGGGACAAGCAGCGGCGGAAGCGGTGGCGGAGGCGGAGGCGGCGGAGTGAACTGCCAAGATTGCGGAAATCAAGCCAAGAAAGATTGCGCGCACATGAGGTGTAGAACTTGCTGTAAGAGCAGAGGGTTTCAGTGCCAGACTCACTTGAAGAGCACGTGGGTCCCGGCCGCCAAACGCCGCGAGCGGCAGCAACTCCTCCAGCACCACCAGCAGCTCAGCCTCAGGGGCGGCGGAGGTGGTGAGAGCGCCAAACGCCCAAGAGAGAGCTCCTCCTCTCTCATATGTACTCGCATACCCACCAACGCTTCCACAGGTAATTAATTAATTAAATGACACAATCAATTCCAAAAAATAAAAATAAAAATTCCAATCAATCAATTCGTCGGGAGAATCTATAGTAGAATTCCTTGACAAGAAATCTTATTATAACAAACATATAACGTGGGTTCGATTTCTTGCGTGTTGTGTGGTATGGGGAAATTAAAAAGACGACCAAAAAATCGTCATTATATATATTCTACTATTTTCTCTACTTTTACTATTTCTTGGTAAAATTGACGCCAAATTTTTGGGTCCGGGTTTGATTTAATTTGTGCTATCACCATCTAAAAATTCAAGATCTTAATTTTTGATTGACGTTTCCCCAAATTTATTCTTTAACTTTTTAATTTTATTTTTTGATGAATTTAATTTTAATTATTGTTTTTATTTGAATTAGGGTTAGAAGTGGGGACTCATTATCCGGCGGAGTTAAATTCTCCGGCAGTGTTCCGGTGTGTAAAAGTGAGTGCGATGGACGACGACGAGGACCAGTACGCGTATCAAACAGCGGTGAGCATCGGTGGTCACATTTTCAAGGGAATTCTCTACGACCAAGGTCCCGAGAACCGGTACAATTCCGTTGGCGGTGGCGGTGGTGGGGAGAGCTCATCTGCCGCCGCCGCGGGTGGCGGAGCATCTCATCATCAGCAACCACTCAATCTCATCTCCGGCGCCGTCACCACCTCCCACTCGCAAAATCCGGTCACATTGCTTGACCCTTCTTTGTACCCCTCCCCTCTCACCGCTATGATGGCCGGTACGCAATTCTTTCCACCACCACCACCAAGACCTTAGCGTATATATATGCTAAGAAGTTGGAAAAAGTTTGGGTAATTTTTCCTTTGGAGGTGGAGCTAATCACGTTAAATGTAACATAACTAATGACCTTTGTTTTCCTTAGTTTTGACATCAGATTAAGATTCGAACTAAGAAAAGGAAAGTGATCGAAAGAGGCAAAGGAAACCATTTGTATGAATTAATTGGGCTTGAGAGAATTAAAATGGTGGATGGAAGGATTAGATGCTTCGGATATGATCTCAATTCTATTGGGAATGAATTCAAGTACGATTAATTTTGCAGTGATTTATTAATTATTAATTTATTACGGTTCCTCGTGAGTAATATTGTATTGTTCTTGTTAATTGATTAATTAATTACGTAGTATTAATTATATATTTAAATTAAATTAAACAATTAATGCATGGTTGCTGCAGCTCATTCCGGCGATTTTAGTTTACCCTCTCAAAAGCGTATGACTTTAAGAAATTAATGACACTTTTTTCCACATTTTAATTTGGAACCCAAAAAAGCAACGCAATCAGAGTGTATTGGTGCACATGCTTTCATGAGTTCATATATACAAGTACATACTAGTATTAAATGTGAAAATTCCTTTTATGTTTAAATTAAGAAAATACTTTTATTAAATCCTGCATTTGTGAATTAAAGCTCCATAAAAAAATTCTTTTTTTTTTCAATTGAAGCTCCATAATGACCGCCTGTTCGTTCGCCTAAAGCACACACCTTTCAAGTAAAATTTAGAAACTTTTGAATTTGCATCTTATGTTAATTTAGGTGCGTACTAGGCCTTGCGCATAATTATTTAAATCTTTTGAATTTGAACCTAAAATTTCAAAAGTGACTTGCAAAGTCAAAAGTTAAACCCAATCACAGGATGTAATTATGTAAATGTAAAACCAATAGTTCACCAATGCAACCTCAAAAGTTCACCATGTGGTATGAAAAATTTAATACTCATCAAGAGAAAATAATGTGAAATATCAAAACGTATTTGTCAATAATCATAATTACATAACTGTCATTTGTAATTTATAGTTAGTATCGTATTTTGAATTTTCAGGCATTAATATGATGATACTCCGTATTAACCACGTAATTGGCCTGGACTATGGGTTAAAATAGTGCATGGACTTTAAAGTTTCACATATGTTCACATAAGCGGAAAATTAGTACTGTCCCTCAAGTGTAATATAATGTGGCGTACGTTAGTTCATGTAGAAATTGCTCTATATATATATATATATATATATATCTATAAAATACACAAAATTCAAAATATGGGACTAAATATGTTTTATTTCTCAAAGAAGACTTATTTAATCCTACTAAAACAATAGGTTGATTAAACCCTTTTTAAATACGAGTGCATAAGTCCTCCTTTTGGTAATAAAACAAAGATATTCATATTTATAAACTTAATTCTTGTTTTACCGGGAATTTTCTCTAGTTCATTCTTTGAGTTTCGGGTAAAAATTCAAACTTTTGACAAGTATACATGACAATGTGACATGCTGATATAACCCTGATTTCTTTAGTTAAAGGTCTTAAAATTAAATCAACTATTAATCATCATAATTAAATAATAACGGGTGATTTGATCATGTCATTTAGGTTGCTAAGAAGAGTATTACGTAGTACTCGTACAATACATAGACAATAGACACATATACGTGTATTACTCAGGGACATTCTTTGTAAGCGGTCCGAGGGTTGCTACCTCGTATTTTCTCTCTTTGTTTCTAGGTTTTTTCCACTTCTGAATTGATTACGGTTTGCTTTCTGAGAGGTTCTTGAATGGATGCAGTACTTTTACCCCAGTTTACCCGTTTGCTTGCCGGACTGAAAAAAGTTCCATATTTTACTTTGCTGCTTCAGAATTATTACTGTTTTGGGAACCAAAAAAAAAAAATCGTTTTACTGTTTTGGGAACGAGAAAAGATCGATATGATACGCCGTAATAATATCGTTTTACTGTAGTAAAATCCTAGCTTGGATTTCAATTCAGTAATAGTGAATGAAAGAGCAGCGTGCGGGCAATCCGGTCACTACTCGAGTGGTTAAGAAGGCGCCATATGATCAGAATATTTTATCAACCGTTCAACTTCTGTGAATTATTGAGATAGTCAACCATACTTTAGAATAGGGTTTTTCGTAGCCATACTTTTATTTTTATATTTTTGATTGGTCAAAAAAATCAATTGTTTTAAAGTAAAATGTTTACAGATGAAAGAATTACAGTAAGCTTTTCCTTTGTCGAAATTGGAGTTGGCCACGCCATTCTTTTACAGTATAGTAAACCATTTGGATCCTGGATCATATTGTTTTCCTATCATGTGCCTATCCTAAGCCATGTCAATCATATATTGTCATCAATGTCGACTTTAACTTCTCCCAATTGGACCATCATAAATTGAAATATTCCATGATATTTTGTACTCCCTCCGTCCCAAAATGATAGTCTTGTATTTCCTTTTTGGGATGTCCCAAAATGATGACCCTATTTCCCTTTTTGCAAAGAAAGTGTTACGATTTAGGTTAAATAAATGATAAATTAAAGAGCAAGAACACAAGAATTTACGTGGTTCACACAATCGGGGTGATTGTGCTAGTCCACGGCGAACGAGAGAGAGAGAGCAGTGTATTATTATGTCGGCGTCAAGAGGTATTACACGTACAAAGATGTGTTTCAATAGGTTTAAGAAATACCTAACCAAGGATTAGAGCAGCAAGCTCAAAATTAAGCCCGTAATTAAAAAATTACTCTGCAGACCCGGTCGGTTGTCTCCTCAAAAGGCATACCCGGGTCGAAACCAGGACAGGTATCCTAAAAAGAGGCCAAAACCTTCCACGGACCCGGTCGGGTAAGCCTCCTTACCCGCTCGGATTTCCAATCCAGAGAGTTGCCCGGCCAAAAACTGCCTCATACCCGATCGGGTGACTGACCCTACCCGGTCGGGTATCTCCTGCTGGGGCAGAACCAAGACTCCACCTTCAACAGAAAGATGTGGTCCATATCATTTCACTTTATTATACTCAAATCTCAACCACAACTTTCACCTTTTCAACCACTTTATTAAAACTTGTGACCAAAATAAATGAGACTATCAAATTGGGACGGAGGGAGTATTCAATTAAATTTTTAGTAGGTATAACTGTGTACTACCTCCGTCCCGGTCATTTCTTCCGGTTTTGACCGGTATCGCAAATTTAGGTAGTAGGAATAAAGTGAAAATGTATGGTTGTAGTTGTGTAAGAAAAAGGTGAATGAATGTGAACCACATATTTTTTCCAAAAGTGGAAGTTGGAAGAATTAATTGGGACGACCCAAAAAGGAAAGTTGGAAGAAATGACCGGGACGGAGGGAGTATTTTATACTCCGTAACTATCAAAGCCTAATACTCCCTCCGTCCCGTTAGAATGTTCCCGTTCACTATTCATTGGTCTACTTAGGTCACTCCTAATTTTTTACGTTATATATCAAATTTTTATCGAATTGAACTTTTCTTGACCAGGCTTTGTAGCGGGTTTAATGTAGTTTCTGAATATGTAAATTTTATTTACTAAAAACAAGCGGAGTGTGAACAGGGATCGAGTTGCTTTATCGTCAGTCAAGCATCGTAAACCGAACGGGAACATTCCAACGGGACAGAGGGAGTATTATTTTATTTAACCTAATCAATTTAATTATAATTTAGGCTAATATATGACTAGAACTAATCCAATTAAAAATACTCTTAGATTGACAAATATGGAGTAAATTGTTGGTGAACACTAACGAACTGGCTTTATTAAATGGGAAATGTAATCAAGGTCCTTTAGTGATATACTCTCTCCGATTCTGAAAGATCTTTACACTTTTCATGTTTAGCAGTACCAAAAATATCTTTACACTTCATTATTTGCCTTATTTGACAAATAAATCTACACAAAATAGTACCAAACAGTGCCAAACAGTGTTTAGTTTCTTAAAAACTGTGAAGTCAAAGTTTCAAGATCTTTTGGAACCGGAGGAGTACATGAATAAAGTTCTTAGTTAAGACAATGAGAAAGTGCCTTCATGGTATACAAAGTAGTATATCAAATTACTCAGATTTTAAACTACTCCATATACAAAATTATTTCCTTGTTGCAGAACAAGTGAGACATGTATACGTTAACAGTTTTAAATACTTGTTTAGGATGTTTTTACTTGGATCGTAATTTGCTGGTCTGATCTAGTCTGGTCTGTTTAAATCTGGTCTGGTCTAGTTTGGTCTGAATTGGTCTAATTTGGTCTGGTAAACATCCGGTCTCTGTGTATTTTATAACTACGGAAATCAAGTCTGGTCTGTTCTGATCTGTTTAAGTCTATTCTGGTTTGATCTGATCTGGTCTGTTTAAGTCTGATCTGGTTTGTGACTGAAAACGGGCGAAGTAAAAACGTTCTTATTTCTCGATACAGCCATTACGATTGAAACTAGAGCACTTAAAACATGTAGAGGCCGTTTGGCAACCCTCATTTTCGGCTTATCAGGCTTATCAGCCAACTTTTTTACCAAACGCGTAAATTTTGCTTTCGCGCGCTGAATTGTGTAATAAGCCGAAAAAGTAAGGTTGGAGTTACTTTTCTGGCTGTATTGGCTTAAGTTACTGTAGATGATCATTTTATCTATTTTTACATATAATATTTTCTTTATTTTATTAATAAAATATATTTTAAAACTATTTTTTTCTTGTATCAGCAGAATCAGCTAATGCAGCCACTTCAGCCAGAACTTCATAAATTTCAGCAGAATCAACCAAAACAGCCGATTTTCGTGCTACCAAACAGGCTCGTAGAGTTACGATTTCAATGATATATACTCACGTTTTGGCCATTACGAGAGAAATTTGGCCTTTTATAATCATGGCCTTTACTATATAATCCATTTGTTCTACAAAATTATTCGCATTTATCATTTTGGGATGTCATAAAATATTATTTTCATTTCTTTTTTTGAAAGTTTTATGCATTTAACACATTCATATACTTTTTTCTTACTCAACTACAAACATATATTTACATTTTATTTCTTAATATGTGTGCTAAGTCAAACGTGAATGTTTTTTTTGAGACGGAGGAAGTACTACATAGTACATACTATATTGACACACTTTCTTGAAAATTATTTCGATTGTTGTTTTTGAGTAATTCAGTACGAGTATTACATACTCCCTCGGTCCCGAAATAAATGTCATACTTTCCCAAAATGGATGTCCCAAAATAATTGTCCTACTTTGAAACTTTCCATATTTGGTAAACAAATCTATACAAAACAGTGTCAAACAGTGCCAGTG